TCCATGCTTCCAGCCTCTTTCTCCCAGCTTGGACCTGGATATTTCTTCCAACATATTTCAGCTCTTCTCCTCTTGGAATCTTATTGGGTCACTCCTTTCCCCCCGCCCCCTGGTTCTTGGGGATCTAATTAAACCTGACCGCAGTCCAAAAAAACTCTTGTCTCTTCTTAGTTTTTAAAGGTAATGTTGCTGTCTTGTTAAATTTGCAGCTTGAACTTTGCACAAGCTAGTTTTCTATTTTATTTTTTTTTAGCACTGATTGAGACATACAGAGAGTTTACTTTGCTGGAATTGCCCATCCTGTGGCTATTTTTATCCCTTAGTCCAAGCCGGACTGTCAAGAAAGATTCTTTCTGGTAAAATAGAGCGGTGCATTATTGGGTTTGCTTTCTGTTTGCTTACTGGAGCCAGAAGAATATCCTAAAGTGTTTTTCCAAGCAGAAGGATCTTCAACTGCCCTAAAATAACTCGGAATGGCCCAGTATTGTCCTTTGAGGGTTTGTTGTGGTTCGCTGGCAGCAGGTGCAGACGGCTGAGGTCTTGGAGAGTGAGGACTCAGATGAGGGATCGGCGTGTGATGCAAGGATGGGGCCAGGACCATCAGGGAGTGGAGTGCTACCTTTGGAGATTGTGGAGGCTGGCAGCAGGAATGAAGAGGTTCCCGAGGAGCCTGTGCCCAGTGCACGTATGTGCAGGGCTGTTCAAATAAAAGAGCAGTTGCAGCAGCATGGGCGACTCGGGAGTAAGGCTGCAAGGTAATGGCCCCTCCCTTAAGGGATAAAAGCCAGCTGAGAAACCTGAGTTCTTTGCAGGAAGCAAAGAAGTTTTTGCACTCAAGCCTTGTGGATGTTCGGGATATCTTGGTTGGTGTTTGGAGACTCTTTGTGTTTGAAATATTTCTTAGTAACTTTATCTAGTGTTCTTGGCAGCCTTGCACAACCTTTGCAAGTCTCGTTCTTATCAAAGACAATTAGTTTGAAACAGCCTTTTAATCGTGAAGGAATGGAATTTGTAAAGAATCATTAAAAAGTTTTGCTGTTACCTCTGTTCGTGTCTGTTTCCTTGGAACAAGGTTTGGGTCAGAACAAGGTTGTTTTTGTTGTTATTGATTAGCTGATTGTTAAAAATCTCTTTTCAGTGTCACGTTAATTCTAGTGGTCGGGCTTTTCAAAGCAGCTACCTCTGTTCTCAAGCTCACGCCAAGCTTTAAAGAAGAGTGGCTGCTTTAATTAGGTAGCAGGAAGGTGTTTGCAAAGTCTGAAGCATTTCTTCGGAATCATTGTCAAAGTGCATCGAGCCCAAAATATATGTGGCCATAAGCATCCACCACAGTGGCACAGTGGTTAGAATACAGTACTGCAGGGTATTTCTGCTGACTGCCAGCTGCCTGCAATTTGCCAGTTCGAATCTCGCCAGGCTCAAGGTTGGCTCAGCCTTCCATCCTTCTGAGGTGGGTCAAATAAGGACCCAGATTGTTGAGGGCGATAGGATGGCTCTGTAAACTGCTTAGAGAGGGCTGTAAAGCACTATGAAGCGGTATATGCTATTGCTTGGGAAGGAAGGAAGGAAGGAAGGAAGGAAGGAAGGAAGGAAGGAAGGAAGGAAGGAAGGAAGGAAGGAAGGAAGGAAGAAAGGAAGGAAAGAATAGTGGCAGAGTGGTTAGAATGCAGTGTTTCAGGCTAACTCTGCCCACTGCCAGGAGTTCGATCAAGGTTGACTCAGCCTTTCATCCTTCCGAGGTGGGTAAAATGAGGAGGCAAATTGTTGGGGGAAAATAGGCTGACTCTGTAAACCGCTTAGAGAGGTCTGTGAAGCACTATGAAGCGGTATATACGTGTAAGGGCTATTGCTATATAAGGAGGAAGAGAAAGATAAAAATTATCACAGAGGCAGAAAAGAGAAACTTAAAGACTTGGAATACAGGTCATCCTTGACTTAGGACCACAGCTGAGCCTGAAATTTCTGCTGCTAAGTGAAACCCTCATCAAGTGAGGTTTGCCCCATTTTATGACCATTCTTGTCACCATTGTTAAGTGAATCTGACTTCCCCATTGACTTTTGCTTGTCAGAAGGTCGCAAATGGGGATCACATGACTTGGGACACAGAAACAGTCATAAATAGGAACCAGTTGCTAAGCGTACAAATTTTTAATCAGATGACCATGTGGGACACTGCAATGGTTGTAAGTGTGAAAAATAAGTGTCATAAGTCACTTTTTTCAGTGCTCTTATCACTTTCAACAGTCACTAAATAAACTATTGCAAGTCGAGAATTAACTGTATTACCTTTAAAGTAAAAGCTGCATGTGGCTCATTTTAGGTTAGAAAGAAATCAGATCCCCCCCCCACCCCACCCCCGAAAGATCTGGTGCTGGCTGGGGATTTCTGGGAATTGAAGTCCGCATATCATTAAGTTGCCAAAGTTGGTCATATGTAGAGACTGAAGATTTCCCACTCAGCTTTCTACCGCTTCATTCCGCTGCTTTTTATAGACCAGGGTAGACATACTGCACGCATGCTCTAAAAAAAAATGCAAAAGTTTTGCTTATACCACATATTGAGAAATTTCCTGTGTAGGTGGGGTTTGTTTGGTCCTGACTGATAACCAGAATAAATGAATCTCGTTTGCTTCCTACGCCAAGTCTAATTTGTTCCGTTCCAGATCTGCACCAGTTTGCAAATTCCATTTTTAAAGCTTGCACGTATATTCACGTGCCATTTTTTGTTCACATCTGCATCAGTGGTATTGTGATGACCTGGGGTGTGGCACAAAAGCAACAAAGTCACAAAGTAGGTAAAGTCCCTTTAATTCCTCCAACTTGGCCCCCAATGTCCAGTTATCCTCGGCTGGAGAAAAAACTCTTCCAAGAACAGTTTTTAAAGGGAAGAAATTTAGTCCGAACCCAAAGTACATATAAATTATAAATAAAAACCAACACAAACCATGCTGCAGCAATTAACGAGACTGGCCAGGATAAAGAATTGCAGACTTCAAAAGATAACAAAACACACACAGTTGGGAGGACGCCAGAACCCAGATAAGACTTAACAAAGATAATGCACACTTTGCTTCCAACAAGGTTCTGTGCGCAAATACCCTTTTGATCCTGTTTTCCCAGTTGCAGCTAATGAAGGGAATCAAGGCCTTTTTCTCCCCCATAACCCACATTGCTCCCTTATCCATTCCTTCCTGCATGCCCTTATGATGAAGTGGGGGTGGCCCTGGGTCTTCCTCTGAATGCTCAGATGGACTGTGCCCTTCCCCAGTTTCCTCCACAGCCACCAGAGCCACATTCCCATTCCCTGTCAGCTGTTCGACGTCCCCCTCGGAATCAGATTCCAACAGGAGCATCACATGTGTGATTCATTTTTTTTTTAATACTGGTTCTGTGGGCAGGCTTGGTGGGCGTGGCAGGGGAAGGATACTGTAAAATCACGAGGCAGAGGTGGTATTTGCCGGTTCTCCTAATTACTCAAAATTTCCGCTACTGGTTCTCCAGAACTGGTCAAACCCTGCTGAATACCACCTCTGATCTGCATGCTGTTTTTATACCCAACGCCAACCTGTTTGTGGCCTCTTTCTCGCATATATGACATTTTGTAGGTGATTTCCCTCAAGGCATGGGGTTTTTTGTCACAACTTTCCATAGTTTTATATGCTTAAAAGACCCTTGGAAAGTTATATCCCAACATTTCAGAGCAAAAAGTCAAGTTGACCCGTCATATCCAGGAAGTGTGAGCTCATGGTATCTGCTGAATGTAAACCAAACACATTTCCTCACGTTATTGAAAAGAACAGAATAACAGAGTTGGAAGAGACCTTGGAGGTCTTCTAGTCCAACCCCCTGCTCACTATTTTTATTGCTCCCAAAGGTGATAGGCAACACCAACTTTTCTCTGTGGTTCCTGTGTTACTTCTGTCATTGCAAAGTTTGGAAACAATTGGTGGGATGAAACCTCATTTCTTGAAGAAAGTTGGCTTAGAAGGACTTGTTTATAGCAGGGTTGTCAAACTCTTAATGTCACATCGCCACGTGACGTATCGCGACATTTTTTTCCCCTTTGCTAAAAAGGGAATGGAGGTGGCCAGCGCGTGATACATCAAGCCCACGGCCCGTGAGTTTGACACCGTTGGTTTATAGAGTTCCTGGTTTTACTGTAGGGCTAACCTGTTATTCTCAGATTAAAATAAAAGGAACGAGTGTTACCCCTATTTTGAAGACTTAGATAACAAAGACGTCATTCCCCTCCATGTTCAGTTCTCTACTGCTCAAAGAAAGACTGCTCAAAGAAAGTATTGCAATGTAGTGTGTGTGTGTGTGTGTGTGTGTGTGTGTGTGTGTAAAGAATCAGCATGACTATTTCAGAGGTGGTATTCAGCAGGCTCTGACCAGTTCTGGAGAACCGATAGCAGAAATTTTGAGTAGTTCGGAGAACCGGCCAATACCACCTCTGACTGGTCCTGCCCCACCATCTATTCATCATTCAATGGGCCTCCCATTGAGTCCCAGATGATCAGCTGGGTCTTCTTTGGTTGCCCTGCACAGAAGAACGGAGCTGGAAAGCAGGTTAGTGGGGTGGGGAGGGAATGGGGATTTTGCAGTAGCCTTCCCCTGCCACGCCCACCAAGCCACGCCCACTGAACCGATAGTAAAAAGAACTGAATCCCACCACTGGACTACCTCCATCAAAGCTGATTCCAGCTGGAGTATAGAACAATTCAAAAATGTAGTGCGAGACAGGAAGATGTCGAGAGATCTAGTCCATAGAATTGCCAAGAAGTAGACACGTCTGAATGGATAACAACAACAACATCATCATCATCATTATCATGATCTTGTTAAATAAATAAAGGCACTTAAGAAGTGTGGGGTTAATCACCAAGAGAAATGGTATCTATGTGTTATTCACAGGGCAGGGCATTTTCTCCACAATGTTCTTGTTTAGCTTTTTTTGAGAGGGTAACTAATCAATGTTTTCCTTCTTGTCTTTCATCCCAGTCATTTCACTATGCTTCCCTGAGGGTAAAGAGCAAAAAATGGCCCAAAGGTAAGTGGTTGGAAAAATCAAGACTTTAATAAGAAAACATTAAAGGCACTGATCGAAGTAAAACATTGAATTTCACAGGTACAACACACAGTGGAGGACCTGGAGCATACTAAATTGTTGAGCTAGGTGCACAATGTGCACTATCATTTTTATCTCTGCTTTTTTCCAGTCTGTTCTTCTCTTCTCTTCCCTTCCCCTCTTTTCTTTCCTTCCTCTCCCCTCTTCCCTTCCCCTCCCCTTTTCTCTTCCCTTCCCCTTTTCTCTTCTCTTCTCTTTCCCTCTTTCCTTCCTTTCCTCTCCACTCTTCTCTTCCCTTCCCCCTTTCTCTCTCTCTTCCTTCGTTCCTTCCTTCCTCCTCCTCCATAAATAATTGTTTACAAATCTCAGTGTCCAGGTTCCTGCAATCACCAAACCCTACTAAAACACAACCTAATTTAGGATTATATGTCAGCTTATTTTCTTCACCATTTCTCCTCCCCCTTTCTACCATCTTGGAGATCCTCTTGTACATTAACGATAGAAATTCTGGTTAAAAAAAAAAACCTTCTATAGCTTCCTTAGTTTTCTACAGAAAGGAAAAATAAAGCTGGGTGTAAACCAACACATTGATCATGTCAAACCTCCAGCCCATCTCAATTCTGCCCAATGCCTCCAGTGATTTCAGGGTGTTAATTAGTATGTAGAACGGTTCAATTTTTAAATGCCAGTCAGAAGGGGTCATTATGTGACGATTTCAATAAATCCATTTTGTAATCTGTTTGAAAAGCAGAAGATTGTTCGAGAGTAACCTCTTTTCTTTTATTACACACTTGTACACCGAGTTGTTCTACAATTCACCGAATTCATAATGTCGGTTCCAATGAAATAAACTTTTTACACAGCTTAGCTGTGAAGACTGCACAGAAGAAAGAATCATAATTTAATGGGATCTAAACTCTCGACTATGCTTCACAGCTGTAGGACAAATATAATTAATATAACAATGTAAACCCAATTTTTCACACTGCGCAGTCTGATGTTTTAATTAAATTTGCCCTCGGCTTTATAGGAAAAGTGATATGAATATTACCAGAAATTCTGTTTCTGGTGATAAAAGAAAAAGTGGCAAGAAAAAAGCAGAATAGAATTTCTGAGTGATCCACTTGTTTGAAAATAATGACAATAAAGTCTTCTGGTTTCTTAGTCCTCGACTTACGGCCACAATTGAGCCCAAAATTCCTGTTGTTAAGTAAGGCATTTGTTAAGTCAGTTTTTCCCCATTTTATGACCTTCCTTGCCTCAGCTGTTAAATGAATCACTGCAGTTGATCAGTTAGCAACCCGGTTGTTAAGTGAATCTGGCTTCCCCATTGACTTTGCTTGTCAGACGGTCGCAAAAGGAGATCACGTAACCCGGGGACCCTGCAGAACCATCATAAATATGAACCCGTTGTCAAGTGGCCGTATTTGATCACATGACCACGAGGATTCCGCAATGGTGGTAGATGTGAAAAAAGGTCATAAGACACCTTTTCAGTGCCGTTGTAACTTTGAACAGTCACTAAATGAACTTTTGTAAGTTGAGGGCTACCTGCACTTAACCTTGAACCTCAGATAAATAAATAGGCTGGGCTGAACCTCACTGGACCTTGCTTTGTTAAGAGACAGAAAGAATGTGCAACACTGCACTGTCTGTTGTTTCTCTCCCTCCTGGGAATCCAGACTGCTTTCACCACAGTGGATTGGCATTGAAAGACCTCAAGAAGGAATTCAATGATGAGAGATTTTTTACTATTATTATTATCCCACCATAGGCTGAAATTTATCATAACAAGTAATAATGTTAGGACATAGAATTCTAATTGCCTTAGTAAGATCACACCTAGAGTACTGCATCCAGTTTTGTTTACCACATTATAAAAAAGATGTTGAGACTCTAGAAAAAGCAACCAGGATGATTGGGGGACTGGAGGCTAAACATATGAAGAACGGTTGCAGGAACTGGGCCTGGCTATTCTGGGGAAGAGAAGGACCAGGGGAGACATGATAGCAGTCTTCCAATATTTCAGGGGCTGCCACAGAGAGGAAGAAGGGGTCAAGCTATTTTCCAAAGCACCCGAAGGCCAAACAAGGAATAATGGATGGAAACTGATCAAGGAGAGATTCAACCTGGAAATAAGGAGAAATTTTCTGACAGTGAGAACAATCAACCCATGAGAAGTTGCCCTCGGAAGTTGTGGGAGCTTCATCCCTGGAGGCTTTCAAGAAGAGACTGGACTGCCATTTGTCAGAAATGGCGTAGGGTCTCCCGCTTGGGCGGGGGGTTGGACTAGATGGCCTATAAGGTCCCTTCCAACTCTGATTATCTGTTATCTGTTAGAGTTGGAAGGGACTTAAGAGGACATGAAGTCCAATCCCTTGCACACTGCAGGATTCATTACACTCTCCCCAACAGATGACAATCCTACTTTCC